TAAAGGGGGATAATCGAACCATCATAAGAAGCAAAGGCAGGCAGGAGATTTCCGTACCTCTATACATACCGTACATACATACAGACACATATACATGCATAGTCTATCCACACCCACCAGATCTTCCTGCCATCTCCTTCCCAACGCAGCCAGTCTCCTAAGAAGACATGCTTAGCATATTTCTAGATCTCTCTCTCTCTCTTTCTCTCTCTCTCTCTTCTGCTTCGCTCCCGCCCTGCTTTCCTCAAACTATACAACCGCAGACACACTTTGGATAAAACCCCATTTTCCTCATAAATAGGGGAGATCCCCCCCCCCAAATGGATGCTCTTTCGGATGCAACACTTATGGCTTCTCCAATGCTGAGCATCCCCAAATGTTAATGACATCTGGAGGGTGAGTGTATGTGCATGAGGGACAGAGAGAGAAACCGCTCATGTGTGTCCATCTATTCTCTCATCATTCCAAGCCATGAAACCGAAAGACATCCGATAAGTATAATTTGATCATAAAGATGATGAGAACCGGACGGGGACAGAGAAGGGGAATGGCGATGGGTAGCGATTGCTATGTTTTCAAAGGCAACGAAGGAACCAAAATCTGGCACAAGAGAGATAGAACGTGGCACATTATAAACTATCTCAGTATCAATCTCAGTATCAATTGGAATTCAAATGCAAGGAAGCACCAATCTGAATTTTTCATACATATACATACATACATATGCATATCTAAAGCTCGGAAATGCTTCCAAGCCCTGAGTATTTGCATTCAGCCCACTATCCACCATCTCCCACTAATCCCTGGATCTGCACAACGGCCCTTTTCAACATCCCGGCCGATCTGGCGTCCCCTTTTTCACGTTCAGCCTTTCACATCCTTCCCGTCTCCATTTCCTTAGACAGATGGGAAGGCGGGGTAGACTGCTTTTCCATAGTCTATATGTGGGAAGAGGGGGGGGGGGATTTTCCACCCTTCACCCCCCCCCCTCCTCGTTCCGCGAAATCGTACATTTATTCCAACCGACTCCATTTTGACAGAACAGGCAGCATAGATACAGACTATGGAAAGCTTTCGTGTCAAAGGGATGGAGGATGGGATGGAGGCAGGATATACATTTTATCCTCCTTGGGAGAAATAAAATGGTGCATTTGATAGGAGTTGGGTTGAGCCAGATTTAGGACAGTTTGTGGGAGGAATGGTGACGAAGACATGCACTGAATCGCCGAAATCTTAAGGGACCGAACCAGAAAGGATTTGCACCTAGCTCTTGAATCCTACAAAGGAATTGTTATATTATTTTTTGTAGGAGGATATGAAAGATAAGAAAGAGGAGTACATTCATAGGCTCTGGTCCTGACAAGAGAGTGGATGAGAGAGAGAAAAAGAACGAGAGATGGTTGCAAAGGGATGAAAGAAAGGACAGATGGAGGCAGGAGAGATATAGGGTCCACACAAGGGGGTCGGTTTTGGTGCAGAGATGGAAAAAACAGTCTCTGTTTAGCACACAAGAGGCAGGGATGGAGCCAAGGGGATATTTATGGGGTGGATAAAGGGGTCCCAATGCCCATGGGATGGCTTTGTGGCCAGATGAAAAGACCAGGCCTTTCAAGGGACCCGTTTGGAGAGCCAAACAAAAAGGAACACAACTATCTGTCATTTTTGTGATTCCGTCTTCACCATATTTGAGGGATACAAAGAGGATGCTGGATAGATTTGAAGGGCCAAATTGACCCAAAGGAAACAAAGAAGAGAAATATCTCTACTTTGCAAGGGAAGCATTAGGAGGAAAGTCAACACTGAGGGAGGCCTCTCCGCCATCACATTCGACCAAAGAAAAGGAAGAAAATTGCTATCCTCGCCTTGCAATGGAGATATTTATTTGGAAGGAAGTCGGCAGCAAGGGTAGCATTTGGGAACCTATCCCCATCATCACAAAATATTTCAAATCCAGTCTTTCTCCCCTCTATGTGCCATCACTTAAAGGAGGAAACGGATATATGTGAAAGGCCAAATGTCCAGCAGGAACTAAATGGAAACATCTACGATGCTATGCTTCCATTTCTACCCTTGGAAGTGAGATATTAAGAGTGAGGATGACAAAGGGAAAGGAAAATCATATTTGTGAGATTCACATTCTCATGGGATGGCTTTGTGAGGGAGGTTTTGGACAGAAGAAAGGGACAGGCCTTTGGAGAGAGAGGGGGGGACCTATTTGAAGGGTCAAAGAAAGGGAAACATCTGCCATTCTATTCTTTCACCTTGCAAGGCAAGAAAGGCAGCAGCGAGGGTGGCATTTGGGACTCTTTCTCCATCCCATTATATCTAACCTGAACCCAGCCTTTCTCCTCTTGTTTGTGCTATCCATCACTCCCCTCCTTGAAAGAGGAGGAAGCAATATTTGAAGGGCCCAAAGAAAAGAAACAAGAGATCTCTCTAATGCCTTCCACCTTAGAAACAGAGATCTCTACGGATCCAAGGCTTCCATTTCCAGCTTGGGAAGGAGATATTCGGAGCGAGGGTGACAGGGGCAAAAGGGGAAAGAGAGAGAATATTGGGGGGGGGGGAATAAATAGAGAGAATATTTGTGGGGTGGATAAAGAGGTCCACAAGTCCATGGTTCTGGGGAAATTTTGGACAGGCCTATCTGGGTGGGGGACCTATACAAAGGGGTGAATGGAAAGAAAGAGAAATCTTGGCCATTCTTGGTAAGGAGATATTCGGAGCGAGGGTGACAGGGGCAAAGGGGGAAAGAGAGAGAATATTTGGGGGGGGGGGATAAAGAGAGAGAATATTTGTGGGGTGGATAAAGAGGTCCACAAGTCCATGTTTTTGGAGAGATTTAGGACAGGCCTATCAGGGTGGGGGACCTATACGAAAGGCTGAATTGAAAGAGAAATCTCTGCCATTCTTGGGAAGGAGATATTCAGAGCGAGGGTGACAGGGGCAAAGGGGGAAAGAGTGAGAATATTTGGGGGGGGGGGATAAAGAGGTCCAAAAGCCCATGGTTTTGGAGAGATTTTGGACAGGCCTTTCAAGTGAGGGGGAAACCTATGTGAAGGAGTAAATGGAAAGAAAGAGAAATCTCTGCCATTCTTGGGAAGGAGATATTCGGAGCGAGGGTGACATGGGCAAAGGGGGAAAGAGAAGAGAATATTTATGGGGAGGGGGGATAAAGAGGTCCACAAGTCCATGGTTTTGGGGAGAGATTTTGGACAGGCCTTTCAAGGTGAGGGGGAATCTATATGAAGGGCTGAATGGAAAGAAAAAGAAATCTTTCCCATTCTTGGGAAGGAGATATTCGGAGATATTCGGAGTGAGGGTGACAGGGACAAAAGGGGAAATAGAGAGAATATTTATGGGGAGGGGGGATAAAGAGGTGCACAAGTCCATGGTTTTGGAGAGATTTAAGACAGGCCTTTCAGGGTGGGGGACTATGTGAAGGGTTAAATGGAAAGAAAGAGAAATCTCTGCCATTCTTGGGGAGGAGATACTCGGAGCGAGGGTGACACAGCCAAAGGGGGAAAGAGAGAGAATATTTATGGGGAGGGGGATAAAGAGAGAGAATATTTGTGGGGTGGATAAAGAGGTCCACAAGTACATGGTTTTGGAGACATTTTGGACAGACCTTTCAAGGGAAGGGGGGAACATATATGAAGGGCTGAATGGAAAGAAAGCGAATTCTCTGCCATTCTTGGGAAGGAGATATTCGGAGCGAGGGTGACACGGACAAAGGGGGAAAGAGAAGAGAATATTTATGGGGAGGGGGATAAAGAGGTCCACAAGTCCATGGTTTTGGGGAGAGATTTTGGACAGGCCTTTCAAGTGAGGGGGGATCCTATGTGAAGGACTAAATGGAAAGAAAGAGAATTCTCTGCCATTCTTGGGAAGGAGATATTCCGAGCGAAGGTGACACAGGCAAAGGGGGAAAGAGAAGAGAATATTTATGGGGAGGGGGATAAAGAGGTACACAAGTCCATGGTTTGGGGAGAGATTTTGGACAGGCCTTTCAAGTGAGGGGGGATCCTATGTGAAGGACTAAATGGAAAGAAAGAGAATTCTCTGCCATTCTTGGGAAGGAGATATTCCGAGCGAAGGTGACACAGGCAAAGGGGGAAAGAGAGAGAATATTTATGGGGAGGGGGATAAAGAGGTCCACAAGTCCAGGGTTTTGGGGAGAGATTTTGGACAGGCCTTTCAAGTGAGGGGGAAACCTATGTGAAGGACTAGATGGAAAGAAAGAGAAATCTCTGCCATTCTTGGGAAGGAGATATTCGGAGCGAGGGTGACAGGCAAAGGGGGAAAGAGAGAGAATATTTATGGGGAGGGGGATAAAGAGGTCCACAAGTCCATGGTTTTGGGGAGAGATTTTGGACAGGCCTTTCAAGTGAGGGGGAAACCTATGTGAAGGACTAGATGGAAAGAAAGAGAAATCTCTGCCATTCTTGGGAAGGAGATATTCGGCACGAGGGTGTCACAGGCAAAGGGGGAAAGAGAGAGAATATTTATGGGGAGGGGGGGTAAAGAGGTCCACAAATCCATGGTTTTGGAGAGATTTAAGACAGGCCTTTCAGGGTGGGGGACCTATGTGAAGGGCTGAATGGAAAGAAAGAGAAATCTCTGCCATTCTTGGGAGGGAGATATTTGGAGCGAAGGTGACACAGGCAAAGGGGGAAAGAGAGAGAATATTTATGGGGAGGGGGATAAAGAGGTCCACAAGTCCAGGGTTTTGGGGAGAGATTTTGGACAGGCCTTTCAAGTGAGGGGGAAACCTATGTGAAGGACTACATGGAAAGAAAGAGAAACCTTTGCCATTCTATGCATCCATCTCCACCTTGCAAGGGAGGTAGATGGTGATGGTGGTGATGGTAATGGTGGTGGTGATGGTGATGTGATGGTCATGGTGGTGGTGATGGTGATGATGATGATGATAATAATAATAACAATAACAGTATCCATATTTGGAGTGACATTTCAACCCCGGCTCGGCTCCCACTCACCGCCAGTGTTGCTCCTCTTGGTGCTGATGGCCTCGGTGGGTGTCTCCAGAGGCCTCTTCCTGGAGTCGGGGGGCTCCGAATCCATGTGGGGAGCCTGCGAAGGGGCCTGTGGGCTGGTGTGGCTCTGGGCCTGGGCCTGGGACCCTCCGGGGGCCTGCGGCGGAGGCTGCGGCGGCTGTTGCTGTGGCGCCGGAGGGAAGAGGCCGTTCTGATGCACCGATCCGCCTGCCATCATCTTCATCCCGAGGGCGCGGAGGACTTCCCCTCCGCGGTACCCGAGAAACTCCAGCAGGGGGAGGAGGGAGCCAGGAAAGAGGGAGAAAAAAACACACAGAAAGAAAGAAAAAAGGGGGAAAAGGGGGAGAAAGATGGGGAGAAAGATGCTCCAAAAGGATGCTGGTGGGTCTGGACAAAAGTGCCCTAGAGGTCAGGCCTTGGAAGGGGTCAGGCCTGGGCTCTTGTCCTGAGCATCCCTAGTTTTGAGAGGCAAGGACAACAAAGCAAGAAGGGAAGAAGAGGAAGAAGAGGAGGAGGAAGAGAAAGAAGCAAAGGGAGGGATGGATTGGAGGATGCTGATACCCGAAAGAAGCCAAGGGAAGGATGGAGGATGCTGATACCCAGCTTGGGTTGGGAAATGTGCAAAGAGGGTGATGGAGGGATGGCTTGGAGAGGGATCGTAGGAAGGGAAAGGGTGCAAAGGAGGGCAAGCGAGGGTCCAGGGAGAGGAAGGGGAGCTGCGGCCGGCCTCAACGCTTGCTTCTCCTCCTCCTCCTCCTTCAGCGCATCCCTCTTGTAGCCTGTCCTGGATGGCAATGGAGCCCAGAGCCCAGCCCAGCCCCTGACGTTGGAGGAAAGAGAGAAAGAGAGAGACCCACCTCCCTCCCTCCTTCCCTCCCTTTGAGCAGATTTGCAGCCCAAGCTGACAAGGGGGGGAAAGGGGGAGGAAGAAGAGGAAGAGAGAGGAGCTATTCTTTCCCTTTGGGGGCTTGGCAGAGAGGAGGGGGAAGCAGGTGGGAGGGAATGAAGGAAGGAGAGAGAAAGGGAGGAAGAGGAGAGAGGCAGCTGGGCGCTTTGGGGCAAAGGAAAGGGGGTTCCCAGCCCCCTTTTTTATGGCCTAGGCACCTCTAAAACGCCTCCCCCCTTGTGACATATCATTATTCTTATTCTTCCAGAAGGGAACTCCTATTCATTCACGTGGAGGAAGCCTCAGAAAGGCCATCCGCTTGGTCTGAAGCTTCCAAAGGACCCGGCAAGGGTGAAAAAGAAAAGAAAGGACAGTTAAAGTACCAAAGAAACCACTAAGACAGCAACACAAACAACAATAATCATAACAACAACTATAAATAAAGCTTCCAAACATATTTGAGTCTACTGCGTAGGATTCGGGAGGGTCCAACTTTGGTGTCCAACTTCATGGCAAAGTGTCTTTCTTTGCTGAAGTCGGCGAGAGTAATATCCTGTCGCCTGACTTTGATTTTCTCGCGGCTGATCCTCTTTTCATTATTTTGCTTTCATTGGCAGCAGCTGGACACCGGGCACATTCTGGTTTTAATTTTCAAAATGGGTACATTGGCATAGATAGATAGATAGATAGATAGATAGATAGATAGATAGATAGATATACTGTATATGACATATACAGTATATCAATGGATTCTATGGATTTTCTAGAGCCATAGAAAATGCAAACAAACTCACTATTGTATTGTCAAAGGCTTTCATGGCTGGAATCACTGGGTTGTTGTAGGCTTTTTCGGGCTGTATGGCCATGGTCTAGAGGCATTCTCTCCTGACGTTTCGCCTGCATCTATGGCAAGCAACCGTCAGGAGAGAATGCCTCTAGACCATGGCCATACTGCCCGAAAAAGCCTACAACAACCCAATTCACTATTAATAACTCTTTCTTGAATTGCCCCCCTTCGAATTGTCCTATATTATATTAACTGATCCTGTTAATTTGCTCTGTTTCCATGATATTTCCTATGCCGTTATACATTGTTATCCACCTTACTAAACCACCTTATCCTTTAACCAGTTCACGTGGTGGTTTTCCTCCCCCCTCCAAAATTAGTCTGCTGTTATTGTTGTTGCTAGCTATTATTGTTATGTTGTTTTACGCTGTTTTATGCTGTCTTAATTGTTTTGCTTTGTTTTTAATTGTATTCTGCCTTGGGCTTGGGCCCCATGTAAGCCGCCCCGAGTCCCTTCGGGGAGATGGAGGGGGTAGAAAAATAAAATTCTTATTCTTCTTCTTCTCTTCAAAATCAAATGGCTGGGAGCAGGGGAATAGACAGGGGGTGGGAAAGGGATGGGGGACACACACAAAGCCTATCCTTCTATTATATCCTTCTATCCCTCTTTTCTCAGTCTACAATGGACTCCAGGGCATCCCATCGCAAACACATCAGATATTGTCCAGCTTCTGAATCCTACCTAAAACTAAACTAGAAGGGAATCCAAAGTCTAAAGGAGAGTGTTGGCTATGGCCTTGGAAAGCAGTTGGTCAAGATCAAAGTTCCAATAAGCTTGTTCTCCTTCTCTTTCTACTTACTTCTCCTTCTTTCCTTTTCCTTCTCCTTCTCCTCTTTGTATTTCTTCTCCTTCTCCTTGTACTCCTCCTCCTCCTCCATGTAATTCTTCTTCTCCTGCTTCTTGTACTTCTCCTCCTTCTACTCCTCCCCCTCTCCTTCTCTTTTTACTTTTATCCTTCTCCTGCTTGTACTTCTCCTTTTCCTCCTCCTTCTTTTACTTCTCTTCCTTCTCCTTTCTCTTTGTACTCCCCCCCGCCCTCTGCCTTGTACTTCTTCTCCTTGTACTCCTCCTCCTCTTACTCCTCCTTGTACTTCTCTTCCTTCTCCTTGTACTTCTCCTCCTTCTCCTTCTCTTCCTCTGCCTTGTACTTCTTCTCCTTGTACTTTTCCTCCTCTTCCTCCTCCTTCTTCTTCTCCTTGTCCTCCTCCTCCTCCTTGTACTTCTCTTCCTTTTCCTTGTACTTCCCCCACTCCTCCTTGTATTTCTCCTCCTTCTCCTCTTCCTCCTCTTTGTGCTTCTTACTCCTCTTCCTCCTCTTTGTGCTTCTCCTCCTCTTCCTCCACCTTCTCCTTGTACTCCTTCTCCCCTTCCTCCTTGTACTTCTTTTCTTTCTCCTTCTACTTCCCCCACTCCTCCTTGTATTTCTCCTCCTTCTTCTCTTCTTACTCCTCTTCCTCCTCTTTGTGCTTCTCCTCCTCCTCCTCCTCCTTCTCTTTGTACTCCTTCTCCCCTTCCTCCTTGTACTTCTTTTCTTTCTCCTTCTACTTCCCCCACTCCTCCTTGTATTTCTCCTCCTTCTTCTCTTCTTACTCCTCTTCCTCCTCTTTGTGCTTCTCCTCCTCTTCCTCCACCTTCTCCTTGTACTCCTTCTCCCCTTCCTCCTTGTACTTCTTTTCTTTCTCCTTCTACTTCCCCCACTCCTCCTTGTATTTCTCCTCCTTCTTCTCTTCTTACTCCTCTTCCTCCTCTTTGTGCTTCTCCTCCTCCTCCTCCTTCTCTTTGTACTCCTTCTCCCCTTCCTCCTTGTACTTCTTTTCTTTCTCCTTCTACTTCCCCCACTCCTTGTATTTCTCCTCCTTCTTCTCTTCTTACTCCTCTTCCTCCTCTTTGTGCTTCTCCTCCTCCTCCTCCTCCTTCTCTTTGTACTCCTTCTCCTTCCTTCTTTTCTTCTCCTCCTCCTCCTCCTTCTCTTTCTACTTGTACTTCTCTTCCTTCTCCTTGTACTTCACCTCCTCCTTCTTGTACTTCTCATTCTCCTCCTCCTCCTCCTCATACTTCTTCTTTGTCCTTTTCATCTTCCTTGTACTTCTCCTCCTCCTTCCTTCATTTTTTTACTGATAATTTTGTTTAAAAAATATTTTTATTCAAACATACCAAGAAAAAAACATACTTGCAAAACAAAATTGAATTTGAAGTCCATTGAAGACGGCTTAGAAAGCTATACTTGGAAAACAAGGACTGGAATTATTTACTTCTCTAATTTCAGTGGCATACAATGCACCCAAGAAGCTCACTTGCTTTGTTGTTATTGTTACATTTCATTATATAGGTAATGTATAGGTAATACATATTATTACTAGTAGTAGTTCGGGTAATACATTTTATTGTATATGTATGAGTAATACATATAATAATAATAATAATAATAAGAAGAAGAAGAAGAAGAAGAAGAAGAAGAATTACCATTATTATTATTATTATTACTATTATTACTATTATTATTGCTATTACATTTTATTTTATATGTAGAGTATGGGTAATCATACACTACATGTGTTAATATGTATTACTCGTATTACTACTACTAATATGTGTTACCTGTACATTACATATGCAATAAAATGTAGTAATAATAATAATAGCAAATAACGTGAGCTTCTTGCATGCACTGTATGCCACAGAAAGGACAATAATTCCATTATTATTATTATTATTATTATTATTATTATTGCATTTTATTGTATATGCAATGTATGGGTGATACATATTATTATTATCATTACATTTTATTGTATATGCAGCATATGGGTGATACCTATTACATTTTATTGTATATGCAGCGTATAGGTGATACCTATTATTATTATTATTATTATTATTATTATTATTACATTTTACTGTATATGCAATGCATGGGTGATGCATATTATGATGATTAGTATTATTACATTTTATTGTATATGCAGTGTATGGGTGATACATATTACTATTGATAATAATATGTATCACCCATGCGTTACATATACAATAAAATGTAATAATAATGCATAATAATAATTGCATTATTACTACATTTTATTGTATATGCAGTGTATGGGTGATACATCTTACTAATAATAATAATAGTAATAGTAATATTTTTGTGTCAGAACCAACAGTCGCTTCTGTTGTGAGAGAATTGGCCGTCTGCAAGGACATTGTCCAGGGTACGCTCAGGTATTTTGATATTTTACCATCCTTGTGGGAGGCTTCTCTCATGCCCCTGCATGGGGAGCTGGAGCTGACAGAGGGAGCTCATCTGTGTCAGGAGCAACTTGAGAAACTGCAAGTCGCTTCTGGTTTGAGAGAATTGGCCGTCTGCAAGGACATTGTCCAGGGGACGCCCAGGTGTTTTGATGTTTTACCATCCTTGTAGGAGGCTTCTCTCATGCCCCTGCATGGGGAGCTGGAGCTGACAGAGGGAGCTCATCTGTGCTCTCCCTGGATTCAAACTTTCAACCTGTTGGTTTTCAGTCCTGCCAGCACAAGGCTTTAACCCATTGCACCACCACGGGCTCCATAATAATGATGATGATGACCTACCTCTCCTTGTTGCTTGAGGCAGGACACAACGTTGTTACAGCAAGGAGATCAAGTACTACTAAAATGCATATAACAAGATACACCACGTTAATATTCACTGATAGATGCAGATTAAAAATCACAAGTTAATTGGGCTACAGAAGGACCTCCTGATGAATTACTCCAACAAGGAAACTATGAGGATTCTTCCTGGCCACTAATGTGAAAACTACAGCAAGGAGACCTTGCAAAGGTCCTTCTGGTGAGAATCCAACAGCATTATAAGTTCTCCTTTTAGCTTACCTTGTAAGTTCACCTGCCTTTGCCTATTCCTAGAGGGATCTGCTTCCTTAGTCAACCATGTATTATTTGATTGTTTTCCTCCCTTTCTGCCAGAGTGGAGGACAGCATTGCCATAGATCTATGGGGGGCCACCAAGTAATGGGATCTGCCTAGGCTTCCTCACAATATGGGCCTTAGACCTGAGTGTCCCTTACAATAAAGCCAAGCAACACAATAGTGCCACCTGCTGACTCTTAGAAAAGCCCTTTTGTTGTTCATTTGTTCAGTCACTTCCAAC